AGGAACATGGAAAGTGAATATCATGCCTGAATCAGAGGATTTGAGTCTGCTCTCACACAAGTCACAAAACTATCTGCAGAATTCAGGTCCCCAGGCCGCACGCGAATCTTTTCTTGTATTCCTGGTTTGGGACGGTACACTTCCAAATCCCATCTGGGGAAGCAAAGAAACATATCAAAACAAGATTCGGTTGGGGTCTAGGGTTTACTGGGTTGCTGTTAACGAACTTGCTATAATAAGGAAGCCCTACTATTTGCGATGTACCCATAATGTGGTGACTTACTCTGCGGTTCCTTATCAGCAACCCAGTTTAGGGGCTGTTTTAAATTGAGTCAAACCTCCCAAGCTCCGGCCAAGCCATGACGGATGTTTTCCTAGTGTTAAGGTTTTAGGGCTTGGGCATGTTCAACTGGAAATGGGAGAATGGATCCCAATCGGAGCCCAAAATTGACCTAATCTTGTCCCCATGAGAGCCTCTGCAAACTATTTCCTGTCCCAAATTCGCAGGTCTAGGTTTTTTTTAGTTTTGGGCTTGGAGACTAAGATCATAACCCTAAACCCTAAAGCCTTAAACCCTAAACCCAGATTACAAGGTGCGCTCCTCCCTTACTTTCTTCCAAACCACAACTCCTTTAGCCTGCAAGGTTCTAACTTGAAAGTTTCCAAAATTTGGGCTCAGGGTTTAGGTTGGGTACTGCCCCCAACCTAAGTAACAGTTGGATATTAATTATAATATGGTTATCTATAGCCCCTAATAGGACCCCTAATATAAACTGTTACTGGGTGGGGGCAGTACCCAAGGTTTGGGGTTTAGGAGTGCCTACAAAGAAAAAAGGGTTATCTTACGTTGAGTTCTATACTGGCGGCCACTGTTTAATGAAACACAAAGACGGAACCCTCAAAGACCAGTCTCCTCTAAAATCACGGGCTTGTTTGACTTCTGTGCCCCTCCCCTTTCAACACAAGTGCAAAATAATGCAGCCTCCAGCTAAAACAGCATGAAAACCCGACCCAGAATCCTGGATTTCTACAATCCAGACATCGGTCCTTCAGCCATATCCCTCACTCCGAAACTATAATCCGCAAAGCCGTATGATTGCTACACCGCATTCTCATGCCCAAGCTTTAAACCCTAAGCCCTAGAACCCCAGCCCAAAATGCAAACCCTAAGCCTAAACTCTATAAACTCTATAAACCCTACAGTACGGACCTAACAAACCCCATAAACTTCAAATCCTACGTCATCCTAAACCCTAAGTTCCAACCTTGAAAACCCAAAGCTCTGAGCCAGTCACCCAAGCCAAGAATTGCCAGAACCATCATGTGAGTGTCTTTGAAGACGCTTTCAAACCTGGTAAAGTTAGACTTGGTTTTGGATCCCTTTAAATGGGTTTATAGGTTCTATAAGGCATACATATAGATCGGGCGCTTTAGGGTCTAGGGATTGGGCGTTTGGAGTTGCGGAACTTGGGTTTGAAGCTTTTTGGTCTAGGCATTCAAGGCGTAGAGTTTTTGGTTTCAAGCTTTGCCTACCAAAAAAATAGGATTTTGGAGCACAGGCCTGGGAAGAAAGTGTTCAGGGCTATGCCGGCCATTTTATCCCAAGACCACGAGCTGAAATGTAGCCGGTGTGGGACTCTTTAGCCCTAAGCCCTAGACCCTAAACCCTCAACCACCGTTTGAAGGTGGCGTCGGGTGAGTTCTTCCGCCCAGCCTCAATGCATCAAACCCTGCAAGCTCCTCGACGCAAATTTCCAAAGCCAATTGAGCTACAGTCTAAACTCCTAGTATCCCCCCTACTAACCCCTATAGTAGTCCCCTATATAATCCCCTATGCAACCCCCCCAAACGCCTCAAATTAGGACCCCATCATCATCCCATTTTTTGTGGGGTTGGCAAAAACACCTCACAAAAGCCCGCAGCCCAAAACCCCAAATTGTTTATCCTAAACGGCTTACAAAAGGTCCCAATGCAACCCAGCTTTTGCTGAGAAGACACGGTAAGTGTTGTGTGTAATGACTGACCAAAAATTGAAGAGGGCTTCGGGTTCCGGCGCATACTCTACTACAGGTATATCAGGACAATGAGGGGATGAGACTGGCATCTTCTCCGTGATCTGCAGTACTTGGGAAGCTGTAAATAACTAGGCACATCCTTTCTTGCAAACTGATCTGACTGATCTGAGCATCCCTATGAATGAACGCCTAGACCCTAAACCCCTAAACCCTAAGTAACTTGACATCCTGCGATGATGGAATCCAAGTGGGGCTGTAAAACAAGCCCGTTCCCAAGCTTAGTATCCTTAACATTGTTATCGGTAAATCTCCTCTGACAGGGGTTACTCTAGAAAAGCCGTTGTCGGTAATTTTCCTCCGGTTATTGGTGAAGGCTTTTTATGAAATGGACAAAACTTAAGTGGCCCACCAATTCTAAACGAAGAGGCGCGGGGTTATTTTACTGTCCCAAGTGAGGATGGGTGCTAGGCAATACCCTTTCCAACTCTCCGAAAGCTTCGATAGAAATGTCTCAAGCCACAAGCTCTACACCTCACATCACGAAAGCCCGAATAGATGTAGGCGCCTATACAATACGACTTTGGGATCTATGCTGCAGTTTTGCAAGCGTTGCAAGGGAAAATCCTTCGCTGCTCAAGCATTTGCATTCAACACCATGGCGCATTCCCAGTTTCGGTTGTGTTTCGGATGTTCTTCTGGAATTGTGTTCCCTGCGATTAGTAAGTATTTGGGCTTCTGCAGTCATCTCAAGGCCCACAACCCCACAGTTGAAACCCAGAAAGGCTCCTGTCATGCTCATGATCATGATGAGGAGGATCATTGATGATGGGGTGATGCCTCAACGCCAAAGCCAAAACCCTGAAACTTAAACCCTAAACCCTAAAACACCCTAAAACACACTAAAACACACTAAAACACACTAAAACACCCTAAACCCTACAACACCCTAAAACACCCTAACCCCTAAAACACCCAGGCACAGGTCAATGATTGAAAAATAACATGCCAGCTCTGCACGATGCAGTTCACCAGATAAGGCAGTACAGCCTTGGGATGAGCTTTTGCCAGGACCCTCCTTGTACCCTTAATTGGGGATACATGGTCCCTAATAGTGGGTATTTAGGCCCTAATAGAGGGTAGGAAGATGGTCTAGGTGGAGAGAGGGGGTTTTGAGTTTAGGGTTTAGGGTTTAGGCCCCAGGGATATTGAATATTTTCCCTAATGGCTTTAACAAAGGACCCTATATATTACTATTTTGGAGAGAGGTTTAGATTGCAGTATTTAGGATTTAGGGCCCAGGGTAAGGGTTCAGTCCTGTTTAAGGGTTTAGGGTTTACGGTTTAGGATTTAGGGCTCAGGGTTTAGGGTTCAGTGTTTAGTGTGAATCCTAGATGAGTGGAATGTGCGCGCTGCGCGCAAAAAATGCTCTCCAGGCTCTCCCAGATTTAAGTTCAACGTAAGATTGCCTACGATTACAATATCTCTGGGAGGCTCACGAATCTGGGGGGCTGCAGGGAATGCATTTGGCGACCCACGTTCGCTGTGGGATTCTTATCCTGGAACAAACTGTTAAGCAACCCTAAACAATTGGATATACTACCAGTTGGAATACACATGGGCAAAGTAATAGGCATGCATGCACCAAAGCATGACTACATAAGTTGATGCATTATTGGTGTCACTCTTTGTCCGCATATCACATTGTGTCCCAGCAGGAACAACATTCCGCCAAACAGATCCTAAATACCCCAAACTCTCTGGAAGATCGATGAAGGCGGGTGTATGGTTAACGGCCCAGAGATGGTTGGCAAGGCATTCGCATCTAGGCCACAGTGCTGTATATCAATACGTATTTGCAAGCTCTTTCTGGATTACGGACATGGGAATTTGTTGAAATCCGGTTCCCAACACAAGAGAAACGTACCCACAGGGTCCATGCAGGTATAAGGGATACACTTGGGCCTTAAAGTAAGTATATGGGAACCCCTTTGGGCCCTAAGTATATACCATATACCTACATGGACCCTTTGGGGTATGCTTACATACACGGTTTTGGGTTTAGGGCCAGCAGGCTCAACCGCCAGGGCTTACACGGTAAGATGGCCTGAAGAATGTTGCACAAATAAGGCCAGTTCTGATTCATAAGCCTGCCCTAAACAAGTGGAGGATGCTTAGGGTTCAGGGTCCCTTAATCACACTTGAGTAGTGTGTTTTTGGTGGTTGAACCTAGTAAGATTTTATTCCTTATATAAAATACTATACCCCAAAAGGAGGATATAATCTTACTCTATAATGGGTACCATAGTATCCCCAAATAAAATACTACTCATTTGGGCTGAGTTGCTTGGGGGCATCCTGGAGGATTTGAAGAAGGATCTGACTGGGTTTCCAGAACAAAGGGACAGAGCACGGAATTATTCCGTTCCTCCATTGCTATTGTTCCGTTCAGGTAAAAGTTCGCTCTATTCCGAGCCCAATTCTTAATCAATTTGGAATGGTCCCTGATAAGGCCCTAGTTTGGAATAGTCCCTACGAAGGCCCTGAATCACTACCCAACATGAAGCATCCGTTGCACAAGGACAGAAAGTACGTAGGGCCGCTTGTGGGGTGGAAAGTAATCCTACACCGAAGACTCTGAGGAGATTCTCCACTTCAAGGCTGTGATCCTTAAAGCGATCTCCAAGCATGGGTTTTCTTGGATTCTGCCGGGGTTTTTGAGACAGGAACTTGCCCTGAGGCATCTAAAGAAGGCTACAAAAGCTTTGAAACCTTGAACCCTGAACCTGTGAGACGCCAAACCCCAAAGCGGTGCTTTTCTGGGTTGCTGTTGAGGAACTTAAATTAAGTTACTCTATTGGGGAAACCCTATTATCTACTATATATACCCATTCTGGTAACTTATGTTAAGTTCTTTAACAGCAACCCAGTTTTTCCCTGCTCCGCATCACAGTTTCTGCTACGAGTCCCGTCTCCGTAGCAGAGGGCTCACTTGTCTTTCCTGGGCATGCTGCACATGAAGGGTTGTATGTGGAAATAACATGAAGGGTCGCTACGTGGGGTCCCCTTTAAGACTGTAAACCCTAGACCATCCTAAACCTAAACCCCTAAACTCTGAACCTTAAACAATATACAGTGTTGAAGGACTTGACATGGCTATGTAGCGTTGATGTCAGGACTTCGATGCCTGGATGTACCTCTTCGCCTTGAAACAACACCCATCCCTCTGACAATCTGTGTTCCACTAGTTATAGTAACACAATATTTGGAACATGCATGTTCAGGATCAGTGCTTTTGAAGTTAATGAATTCGGGACACACTGCGCGAGCTGGTGATGGTTCTGCTGGATCTGTTATCTCCCTACCGTTCTTCAGAACCATACTCTCTGAAGTATATTGGGGTCCCCCCATTTTGGGATACTACCATGTGGGGGCCACCTACATAATGGGGTTGCTTTGAGAAATTTCCATGGCATCGACTGCAAAAAGAACTTGTCAGCGTAGCCGATACCGGAACTCGCCAGTAGCAAGGGTTGAGGGTTTAGAGCTTTAGGGTTTTTTGGGGGCTTAGGGTTTAGGGCAAAAGTTGGAATGCCCAGAACTCTATGCGGCTTGGCGCTTTAGGGTTTAGGATGCACTTCGTCATTAGCATCTCGTCCTTCGCACGACACTTGAATCCATCGTGGACGCCGAAAGGGTCCAACAAAGGTAAGGTGCAGCAGCGGCATACAAGAGAAACGTGCCGTGTTAATGAATGATGTATTTCCTCCACACCATTCACCCTGAACCCTAACCTCGCATGATGCCTGAGAGCTGAAAACGGTCGCGTCGCCCTATGTTTTGACTTCGGGGTTTAGGTTGGATTTGGAACGTTGACTTCCAAAACGTGTGAAGAACTTTGCTGAAGGTTTAGGGCTGCTACCCCGTCTGGACTGTGGACCCATATGTCTTCCAACGGTCCCGTGACCCGAACCCCTATATACTACAAGGGGAGGAGGGTTCAATATCTGGGTGCGCGGCGGAAGGCACACTGACGCCTCTGACGACCTCAAGCGTTTTGCAAGGAAATTTTCAGAAGCCTTCTTGGGGGTCTCACAGACGGCATAAGTGAACCCGAAACCCTGAACTTCCAAACCCGGCTCAGTGGGAACTGCAGGGAGGCTACGCATGTCCCAACGATTTAGAACACGTCAAAACGAGTCGGGTGTCGCGGTTTGAGGCATGGATTGCGCCTTCAAAGCCTAATCAATAGATTCGTACAATGATGGGTTGATCAAAGCCTTGCAAGTGTGGCTACTATTGATCTACCGTGTAGGGTTTAGGGTTTTCGAGTTTAGGGTTTACAGGGTTTGGGGAGACAGCAATTGGATGTGTCCAACTTCTTGATCCTCCTGTGCTGCACACAGCGGCACCCTCCGTATAGGCGTTTCTCGGACTGTGTGGACATATGACATATGGGGGAAAAACTGAAATTTTGATTGTAGCCCTACTTGATATCTTTCCGTATATGCTTCACCTCAGGAGGGGTACAAGCCCAGGGGAAGCCAGACTCTAAACTCTAACCCCTGAGCCCTAAGCCCTAAACACTAGCCGCATTCCTATAGAAAGGCAACAGGATCCTTTCTATAGTACAGAAAGGAAGCCCTCACCCCAAGAAGTTCATATAAAGGATCCCTAAAACGGACCTAAAAACCTCGAACCTACCCTAAGCCCTGAACACATGGGTCGAAATGGCTAGTTGGTCTCCTGGAGCAACATCCTGACACGCAAGCCCACCCCGAGCCCGGAACTTTAGGTTCAGGGTTAAGGACAAGATTTCATGCCAAGGCACCATTTGCACTCCTCCTTTCGACCTTCGTTGACTGCTGACGGCTACCGGTAGGACTTATGGGGTCCAGCCTAACTTGGAAGAATCCTGGAAGTACAAACCAGTGGGTTCAAAACTATGGTGGCTCATGGGTAAGGGTTGGGGCGAAAGACCTAAATCCCAGATCCCTAAACCCTAAACGGGTCCAAGCGAAGAACCCAAGTCCACAACCCCGACACCTTGCAGAGCTGATCTGAGCTATAGTCTAAACTCCTTAGGGGTTGTATTGGGAGTTATATAGGGGACGACTATAGGGGTTATTAAGGGGAATACTAGGAGTTTGGACTATGGCTCATATGTCCATCCATGAAAGGTTCAAGCAAAGAACCAGAATGCACGCACCAGAAACCTTGCAAAGCTGACATGTCCATCTGTGGAAAAGACTAAGAACGTGGGCTTAAGGTCAAGTGAGCAAAGCTAGCGCTTCATACTCAAGATGTTGCCCCCCCTGTCCACCTAAAAGTTGAAGAAGTCCCGTGTGAAGCCAGGTGGAGGGTTGGATTGTCGTGTCAGAAAGTAGAACCCGGAAGTCAGTGAAAAAAACAAGATAAAGAGGCTTGTCCCCTCGGCTAATGATAACCCCCCCTCGATGATGAACATGCCCCCCGTTTTGTAGTGGTACTTTATATTGAAACGTTACAGAATGGTACTATTTATGGGCCGTGTGCATCATGAGGGGGTGGATTAAAGGGTGCAAGATTTCAGGTACAACCCTTGCGTTCTGCAATTCCCCTTCAGTGCAGTCAATCCATAGGAAGCCCTGGAAAAAGGGTTTCAAGGATGTGGTGATAAACTTCGCGAAGTTTGGCTCCTTCGAGCTGTTCCTACCCCCTTACTCCGATCACATTCATTCTTACATCCCTAAACACTACACCCCCTAAACCCTAAACTGCATCCCCAGACTGTCCTTCAACAACACTGCTCAAAAAGTACCTACAACACAAAAACACCTAGCCACAAACAATGTAGTGCGCTAAGATAAAAGCAAAGAACTGTCAAGCTCCAATGGCTTCATTCTTGAACGCAGTGCCCAGGCAGACCTATCCCCTGCACCCTTAACGCCAAACCCTAACCCCTGAACCCTAGACCCTAAACCCTTAAACCCTTAATCCCTGAACCCCTGAACCCCTGAACCCCTGAACCCCTAAACCCCTAAACCCCTAAACCCTTAACCCCTAAACCCCAAAGCC